AAGGATGGCAAAAAGGTAAAAAGATAGAAATGATATATAGAAGCACAAGACCCACTCACCATTTGACTTTAGTTTTGGACGTGAGAGAAAGTCTCTTGTATATACGTCTTCAGAGACGGATGTAATCCAGTTTGCGTAGGTTCAGTCTTCATTAGAGCCATCCATACCCTGTAATCATAAGGAATAACAAACTGAAGGTGAAAGCAAGAACCGTAGGCAGGATAAATGTTTATGACTAAATAATATAATGAAGTTACCACTAGTTTCCATCAATTTTTATGTTAACAGGATAATCAAGGCGAAGTAAAGAAACATAAAAATTAAGAAACAAAAAACTAAAGGAATTCTTTGGAATCAATACACATACCATTTTCAACTGTTGTAGAGTGGCGTTAAGGTCCCCTTCCCAGCGCCCTTCATCATCTTCTTCTGTCAATTTTACTTTTTGCAGTTGTGGTGTGATTAATTCCCCCTTAGAGAAAAACTGCATGTCTGGACAATCCATCACAATTAAGTCTTTCAAAAACGGAAACTCAAAGTTGCATTCCACTGAACAAAAGTTTGCCAGCATTGGTAGACTCTTAAGTCGCAAATACTTGAGTTTGCTAAAGACAATGCCATCCTTCACCTCATCATCAATGCATGCCACAATTTCTCCTATCATATCACAATCACTTATACTCATTCTTGCGAGCTGCACCAAGCTTTTAGCTGTTGAATACCTCAGTAAACTTACAAGGGCATGACATCTTGATACTTCTAGATCCTGCAGATTCCTCATAGATATAATGGATGGCACTAAATTCATTAATTTGCTACATTCAAGTACTTCCAGAGCTCTCAAGTTGTAGAAAATGGTTTCAAAGTCAGGTTTAACCTTCCAGAGATGCATTAGCTCATTAAGATTAGATAACCTTAATTCCCTTAACTGAGTGAGTCCACCTGCAGGTCTTCCCTCAACACCAGATCCTTCACATTGAAATATTTCATTAAAGGAAGCATAGCTCACAACAAGATTCTCAATACTGGGGAGTGACTGGAAGAAGAAAGGAGGAACAACTGATTGCTCAGAAAAGTGGATAAGTTCCAATTTTTTTAGCTTGGGAAAAAAGTCCCCTGCATAATGTCCATGCCACATCTGACTACCAATCATTCCAAGTTCTAGTTCTTCTAGATTGGGGAATGTAGTCTGAAAATTTGAAATATAATGTTTTTTTCTTAGTATGAAAAACATGAGGCGGGATTCAAAATGGTAACTGATGCAAATCCTCTGTTCATTATTTTACGCAAAATAGAGATTCAAATTTTCTTTTTGGTCACTAGAACATCAGTAAAACATATTCTGCTTGACAAGTTAGAAGTACAACATAAAAAGGAGAGTAATAAGCCATATAGGTTGAAAATGTTGCATAGTTTTTACTTTTAAAAAGTAAACAAATGAACATGTGTAGATAATTAGAATAATATGCAATTACATTATTAATTTATGAATTTTAAAAAAAAAAAAAACAACTTAATGAAATGAAAAAGTTCAGTTTTATTTTTCTTTCATAAAAAAAGGAAAGCTTTTCCATTAACAAATAAAGTACATCACGGACAAATCACAACCCAGACATACCTATGACAATGCTAAAATAAGAGATTTATATGGTTAACATAGACAGGGATATCACCTTAAAGTAAATTTCAATAGCAGCGTATATAGTACTACCCATTCTCATTTGTTTAAAATTTTGAATAAAATATTAGAATGAAAGTTAGCAAATAATATTTATTAATAAATTTTTTTCTATAAAGTTCCATTTATAAATTGGGTAATTTGATTTCCTTAATCATTCAATCAAATGGAATTAATTTTTCTGGAAAAAATAAGTATTACCATGTGGCTTATACATTTTGCTCGATTTGAATATGTTCAGACCAAAAGCTTTACTAGAGATATAGTGCATCTCACGCATGTACAAGGGATTTCTCCTTATTATTGTAAAATACTTAGAGTTCGTACCTTGTTGATCCAAAAAAGAGGATATTGTCGAGTCTCAAGTTGGTGATCACTAGTTGTACTTTGGAAGCTTGGAAATTCGAAAGCAAATATCTCTAGCTGCTGGAATCCAATCACCTCCAATTTCTTCAGAGATGGACATTTAATGTGTATTGGATGGCAGAAGCCCTTGAGCTTGGGTAGGCTTTCAAGCCCCAGTTTTACCAATTTTGGAAGTACCAACTTGGTTTCAGCTTCTACCAAAGTTGGCTGACTGGCTACCAAAGCTTGTGAATAGCTAGCAACATGTGCTTCAGGTTCAAATATCTCTTCTAGTGAATCACATTTCCTAATGAACAGTTCTTCTAGTCTCTGAAGCCTTTCAAGCATACTAAATGGGAAAATGCTCTCTAGTGTTTTACAGCCAATTACGTGAATTTCTTTTAATTTGCAAAATGATTCTGCATCAAGTTGGTTGTGCCATATCTTGTCCAAGCTCTCCATGTGATCGATTATTAGTATCTCTAGCACAGGGACGGCCACCTAAATAATTTATCGATTGCAGTAATAACTTATCAGTATAAGCAAGACACAAACTCAACTTTAGAATCCAATTGAAATAGGAAAGGCTTTAAGAGGTGAAACTATAATAATATTAATGTAAGACAGGGAAAAACAATAAGAAGAAATTACCTTTGCGTCAAATAGAGGT